CGCCATGGCGTCGTCGAAGGTAAGACCCTTCTCGGCCAGGACGTCCTTCACCCCGTCGTCGTTGATGTCAAGGAAGCGAATGTTCTTGAAGTCCTTGTCCAATCGCTGGTAGTGGCTCACTTCATAGGCGCACAGCGGGCACTTGCCGTCGTAGAACATCGACACCTGCTCACGTGCGCCCTCAGCGCCAGCGTTGACGCCACCACCTGACCACAACACGGAGTGTATGAGCACACACGCGACCTGTTTGGACCTGGGCGGTACCACCGCGGGGACAGGAGGGCGCGGCAGGCGCCGTGGAGAGCAGCCGCAGGGTCCGCGGCGTCGGCGGCAACGAACGAGACACGCGCCCGCCCGGTGGGTTGAGACCACCCAGCGACCAGAGTGATGAACAAAAGGGGGGAGAGCGCATGTAGCAGGATCTGCGCATAGTGGCGCGACTGCGGGGCCACACAACAAGTTCTTTCTTCACGTTCTCGGCCAACACCTTCGCTTCGGGTTGCCTGTCACCACAAGAGCAAGAACTTGTGGTATCCAACTCTTGCCATTGGCGGATTGTGGCCAGTTCGGAGTTTTAGCGTCGGCGGCTACACGGAAAATCGGGACAACCGGTAATTCCCCGCCTGACGACAAAATGATTTCAAAAGCCTTTGAATTCTGGTTGGTCCCGCATTGAAAAGGAAGGCAGCTGCGGGCGAGGAATAGGCACGGGGGAAGGTGGCGCAAGGTGGAGCGGAGGGTTCAAGGGAAGGCGGCAAACACGAAGGAAGGAAGGCTCAGCTGTGGGGATTATTATATTCAACTGTTTCGTAAGAAGGAGGCAACAACGACCACAGGCCAGCGCGAAGATTCGAAAGAACCCGCCTCTCGCGGCCCGCAACGTCAGACGTAAAATCAGAGATCACAATGGACGATTTTGCGTCGTTGCGCGACTCGACACCCCAGACTGCCTCGGCAGAGGACGTGTGGCCAGACCTGAACCCAGTCGAGATGGTCGAGCATTTCGCCAAATTAGAGAACTACGATGAGAACGCGCCCCTTTCAGGTATCATCCATCACATCGTTATGTGCACATTATTTGTAAATTTGCCAAGAGCTCGGCATTTTCCTGTTACCATGAACATCTTAGCCGACCTTCTCTCTCTATCTCTCTAGAGCTCATCTCGCTTGAGAGGCAGCTCAGCTGGTCCGCGAAGCTCTCGCTGTCCGAGCTCGAGGAGTTCTTTGAGCCCTCTAACGTGTCTCAGCCCCCGGCGCCACAACTGCAGCCTCAACCCCAGTACAGCCAGCAACCACACCACGACAGGTAGCGAACTTTTATCTGTCCCTCCCGTTGCTCCTCTCCTTGCCCTGCAACGTCTCACGTGTACATGGCCATAGGGACCTGCACAGCGAACAGGTGCGAGTCACACTGCTGCATAGGACCCGTAATGCCCAGGGCTGTGAGTGGCAGATGGTGGCGTCTAAAGAGGAGATCAGGTACACATCGCGTCCTAATGTTCCAAGAGCTCAGTCTCTGGAGTGGCTTGGCTCATCATGGTGTCATTCTGTGTCGGGGTGTGCAGAGTGACGCGAAACCGAGGCAAGCTGTTCAAGGTGGTGGTGGAGAGTAGCGCACCCTTCACCAGAAACGACGTCCACCTTTTCCTGGCCGATTCCTCCGTGCCGTCGCTCGGGTCCTCTCCCGCACACGGCACCTCGTCCTACGACCCCTCTTCCTCCTCCAGCTCGCCGTCGACCTCGCCACCGGCCTCGTCGCCGCTGCAGTTGTCGGCCCACGACCTCGTGGTGCAGTCGATCGACGAAGTCCAGCCGAGCAAGACCACGGGCGCCGACGGCCGGCCGACGAGCTACTCAGTCGAGGTGAAGGTGAAGCTGTGCCTCATCGGCAAGGGCATCCAGATCGCGGCGCGCATCACGCCGCCGCACGGCCGCGCGTCCGTTGGCCGATCCGTCGAGTTCATGACGCACAACAACGGCAAACAGAAGCTGCGCACAGAAGCCAAGAAAAAGAAAGAGAAGGAGAAGACGACGACGACAACGAAGAAGAAGAGGTCGGGCAGCAAGCTTTCGCGCGTGGACGGCAGCGAACAGGACAGCCACCAGGAGCTGCCGGTTCCCGCTTCTGCTGCTGCTGCGTCATCGACGGGGCTCAAGGTCGAGCCGGACACGGGCGGCATCTACGACCTGCCGGAACAGCACATGAGCACCCCCATGCGAGGGTCCAGCACCGACTACACGGGAGAGATGTCATCGTCGGGGAGCGACGAAGACGAACTCCGACATCACATGGCCAGGGTGCCCCTCGTTGCGCCTTCCTTCTACTCGGTCTCTGACGAGAGCCAGCACCAGCAGCCCATGGGCCAGCACCACACGATGGCCACACCGCAGCAGCCATACTCGGGCGTGGCCGGCGGTTTCGAGCGAAGCGAGACTCCCACGATGGCGCGTCGACAGTACGACGGTATGACGCCACGAGGGTCCATGATCGACGCCAGCGGGGAGATGGACATCGGACGCGTCACGGTCGTCGACGACAGCGGCGGACCGTCACACCACCCGGCGGCCTATCTCGCCAACGGCGTCGGTGGCGGGCTGAACACGGAGCCGGAGGCCGCCGCGGGGATGGCGATGGGAGGCAGCGCGGACATGGCGCACGGCGCGATGGGAATGACGATGGGGATGGGAATGGACGGTGGCGGCATGTTTCTGCCGAACGACGGCAGCTACGGCGGCGGAGTGGGCAACGCGGAGGACCTCAGCGACTACGGGCGCGGCGAGCCCATGCTCGCGCCGGGCCTGCTCAATCGACACGCGGGGCGGAAGAGGAAGATGGACGGCATGCACGGCGGCGGAGGTGGCGGCGGCGGTCGGGGGTCTTCGCCTTACCCCGACCACCTGTCGATCCGTGGTGGGCTGCACGTCGAGGGCATCGTCCGTGCGCAGGGCTTCATGCAGTACTCTGACCTGCGGCTGAAGACCAACGTGGAGGACATCGTCGACGCCGTGAGCCTCATCTCGAAGCTGGAGGGCAAGCGGTATCGGTGGAAGAGCCAGGAGGAGGTCGAGCAGCTGACCGGCAAATCCACGCCCATCTCGCTCCAGAACAACGGCGGCCTCAAGGTCATCGGCCTCATCGCGCAGCAGGTCCAGCAAGGTAGCGTTCTCCCCCTGGCCCCTGCGCCATCAGCGCGATGGCCCGTGGCAGCCGAACGCTCACTTTCTCTCCTTTGATCGACCTACGCAGTTCTGCCCGAGGTGGTGCGCGAGGATGAAGATGGGTTCCTGTCGGTGGACTATGTGGAGATCATTCCGGTCCTCATCGAGGCGTTCAACCAGCACCTGGAGGTCTACCATCGGGAGCAGAAGGAGCTCAAGAGCGAGTTCGACACCTGGCGACGGCTGCTGGGCGACAAGGACGAGCCATCGACAGAGAAGAAGAAGAGCGCGGAATCGTCGACGACGATGCTCAAGGAGTTGATCATGGTCAAGAAGCAGCCTGGAGGCAAGACCGCCGGGCTGACGCGTCGGGCCAGGAACGACAGCAGCGGGAGCGAGGCTGACCTCGAAGCCGCCCGCTCGCCGATCGACGATGAGGAGCCCGACAGTCTCGATCGCTCCAGTGGCAGCACCACGGATGGCGAGGAGGACGTGGAGGAGGACTTCCGGCACAACAGCACGCCGCTCATGGCCGACCAGGCCAAGGCCGCAGGCGTGGCCGGCGGCGCGGAGGAGCAGTCTGACCTGCTGGCGGTGGACCTGGACCGATTAGTCGCCAACAAGGGCCATCTCGCCTCCCTCGCCGCGCAGATGAACAAGCTCATTCCGGACAGGCAGTACACCGACTTGCTCAAGTACGCTACTCCTCTAGTCTGTGTTGTGTGTGTGTGTGTGTGTTGTGTGTGTGCCACGGTGGCTCACAACAGTGTTCCTTTGTCTACAGGTATGTTCGAGACCAGAAGAAGAGCGACAGGAAGCGAAACAGGCGATTGTTCTTCCTCTTCGTCTTCGCTTGCCTCGCGCTCTTTGCCATCAACATCGCCGTGTCGATCGGCGTTCCCTTTGGCGTCACCTACATCGCGGAGAGCCACGTGTAGGCGGTGGTTTGCGCTCGCGATCGAGCGGGAAGCGAGAAAGGCGGTGCTTCCTGGATGGAGGTGTACAGAGAAGACAAGACAACGAGGATGTACTAAAAGATGTGGTAGCGAAGGCTGTTTTATTTATTATTTTCTTATTTATTTTGCAGCTTTGCTGATAACTCATCATTTATCCCATGTAAATAAAAAATAACCTTGGCCTGGACTATCAACCCCCCCCCCGAGCGAGCACCAAACCGATTGGAATGCAGCTTTTATGAACAAGTACTTACGGGATCCATGGATGGTCGGGGCTCAGGGCAGGCCCTCTGGCGCCTCTGACTCGGCAAAGTCCACGCCCAGCAGGTCGTCGTCATCTATCCCCGTGAGGGCTACGTCGTCGTTGGCCCTGGCCCCCTGTCGGTCCGAGTCGGCCTGCCGGAGTTCGTCCTCACTGTGGGTGTTCTTCTTGCTGCTGCGGCTGTCCTTCTGGTTGACGAGGTATGCGCCGCCGCCATAGCCCCCATCGCCTGCTCTGGCCTTGTCGGTGCCGAGCACGGCGTCACGGCCACGGCCACTGGAGGCGGACCTGTACAGGCTGCCGCTGAAGGAAGATGAAGCAAAGGCCGGCCTCCAGTGCTGGGTGGTTCGTCTGGTGGTTGCTTGTCGCAGCATGGTCAACTTGTTGGTGCAGGGAGTTGGGGTAGTGAGGAAATGGCGAAGTGTTTGGGTTCTATGGCGGCCAGTGGTCTCTGTGTATGCACGTTGCGTGCAGATCAGAGCTGGCATCATTTCCTGGTAAAATTCCCGTGTTTGGGTTGGGTTTCCAAGAGGTGTCATTAGGAATTTCGCCCTGAATGTGCCAGTCTCAAACTACGTCAGGCGCAGTTCCGTGCCTTCACCCCTCCTCAAGAAGAAAGGGCACACGGCAACGAAAAGGGCAATCGAAAAAAGAGTTGGCCAGAGTGGGGTTCGAACCCACGCGTGTTTCCACACCAGAACTTGAGTCTGGCCCCTTGGACCAACTCGGGCATCTGGCCTTACACATAGTTTGGCTCCGATTTCGGGTAGCTGGCCTTCCCTCACCCCCACTATTTTACTCTCGACCAGCCCCGGCTTGTTGTGACCGTCTTTCCACCGAACGAGGTGCCGCCAATGGTGGAGGTGGATGCTTTTTGAAAGATTTTTACTGGTCTGTCGGCTGACCAACGTCGAGTGAAGGAGAGGGCGCGGCCTCACCACCCTTGGAGGAGTTCAACGCATTGCGGGCCTGCGCGCAAAGGAGCAGGTCAACAACGATGAAACGATGAGGTTCAAAAAGCAACGCAATGACAGCCACACCACGAAGCGTGCACGAAGAGGGAAGGTGAGGAGACTGGGGCGCACCTTGGCAAAGAGGGCCATCTGTTCCTGAAGGAGCTGCTCCTGGGGAATGCCCAGCGTGTCGAGGGACTTCCTCATCTTCTTCGGCTTCTCCTGTTGTAAGCGCCAGACGGAGGGATGCGTGTGCGTGCATTAAAGGAAGTGAGATTCGCATCAATCTCCAGTGGAGAGAGCACGCAGTTGAGCGCGTCGGGTGTGCACACGCAAAACCGCACGCATACGCGACCACGACACGACACGACACACGACGTCGCGGAGAGCAGGCGGACGAACCATCGATTCGA